GCCGGCTTTGCAGAGGGCACGAGAAGAAGCTGAAATCAGACCTCCTCTTAGTGGGAAGGGGCACAAGGGAGACTTTGGCGGGGGGGGGGGGGGGGGGGGGCGGCGGGGAACCAGAGGAAGTGCCATCAGTTGATCTGGGTGGTGGCTACACAGATACACACATGTGTGACAATGCCCGAGCTGTCACTTCATATTTGTGCATCTTACGAATTAAAAACTATCTTAAAAGGCCCAGGGCAGCACGCGGCCTCCACAGGCGCTTTGGAAGAAGCAGTTCCTCTTAGGGAGACAGCAGAAGCCCGTTAGGGCCACAGGGTCTGGGATGCCACTGTCTGCCACTTCCTGGATGGTGACCTCAGGCAAGGTATCCCAGCTCACCTGCAAATGGGGACAAGGACAGTACCGCCTACTTCCAGGGTTGTGTCGAGGGTCACATGTAAAGTAGGCTAGGGGACCATCAAGAAGTTAGCAGCAACTACCAAAATGCCAGGCCAACCCTTTGTGCCAGACTGGCCTTCCTGGGACCCCAGCCTGGCCACAGCCTGAATGCCCTGCACAGGCGCAGGCAGTCTGAGCGCCCCACCCACGGACAAGTGGCAGCTGCGCCAGCGGAGGTTTCCAGTCTGGCAGTTCCCCTCACCCCCCACTGCAGTCATTTCTCTCCCCGGCCCTGTATTTTCACATCCTTTAGCCAGTGGTCGGAACCTTCCCCTCTCCGCAAATCCATATTTTGCCAGGCACACTTCCCCCTGGGGGAGGCTGAGCTCTGGCTGGTAGGAGAGTGGAATGAGAACTAGTGTGTGTGGAGCGGGCAGTAAGGAAGAGGTGGAGACAGAGATGCAGGTGTGGGCTTGGGGCCAGCAAGAACTTTCCAAAGCTCGGGGTGGTACCAGGACAAGAGCTCTTGCTACTAGAGAATGCAAGCAAAGACGTTCAGCTTGGGGTTCAGCCTGGGCCCATCCAAGGGCTTTTCTTGCAAGGTCTACTTAGGGGCACAAGTCCTTCAGGATTTCTTTGCAGAGGATCACAGTGGCTTCCCGAAGCAGGGGGCAGCGGGACTCCGTTTTAAATCCCTGCCCCTTGAAAATCATCTTGGGCACCCTTAGGACACCCTCAGTGTACAAGCATGACGCCTGTGGGTGCTGCTGGTGTGGGGGCCACCTGCAGTGGGCTGGCCACCAGCACAGGGGGCCACAAGGTTGTGAGTCCTCGAGATACCAACACCGGGGTTGGTGGTGATCTCCTTTCCTCCTCTGATGACTCGCTGAGCAGGAAGAACTTGCTTCTAAGATAGTAAGAGGCGCGTCCTGAGAGATAGGGACCCTCACATCAGGAGCCACATGAAAAGGGGGTGCATGTAAAGAAGGACCCTGTCCAGGGAAGCCCCTCGCTCAAGGCTCACACACCCTGAAGCTTGCTCTGCAGTCCCAACATGACACAGGCAGGAAAGCTCTCTGCAATGAGCCCAAACCCCCGGATCATATTGATGCTTGATTCAGTGGTTCCTGGAGAGACCTGAATATTAGATCTTAAGGAACCCTGTTCATTTTGTGAGTTGTGCTGATGGTATCATAGTTACAGAGGAAAATGTCCTTTGGTTTTCGAGATTCATTGTAAAATAATTTGGGGTAAAAGGTCATGATGTCCATAATTTATCTTAAAAATACTTCAGCCAAAAAAACAACAACAAAAAACCCCCAAATGATGCAAATATGAATTGTTAAGGCTAACAATGGTCAAACCTAGGAATTGGGAGGGATGAGTGCTAGAAATTCATCTGCTGCCACTTTTCTGATGTCACTGCAAGAAATGGGTATTTCCATGTTTGTTATGCTAGTCTCTACATTTTTAGGCACGTTTGAAAATTTCCAAAATAAAAACCAAGTTTCATTCTCTTTTTCTGACCTATGTCTCAGGTATGCGAGGGTTTTCACACTGCACAAGTTCCCATGTGCAGTGACAACTGCGTTGTGTAGGGGAGTCACACGGGGAGGCTGGAGTCTGGGAGGTTGAGCAAGAGAGGCAGGGAGAAAGGGATGGGGCTTTGTCTAGCTCCTGGCCCTATTCCTGCATCCACAGCCAGAGGGACCGCAGTGAGGAGATCGGGCAGGTGGCAGTGCTGCCCAAGCTGGACTGCCACTGAGAATGCCCACCATGTGAGGAAGCCCATCGCCTGTCACCCAGCCCTCCCCTACCTTGGTTTGGAGTCTCACCGCACCGCCCCGCCTAACTATTTGGCCCTCTTATGAGTATACCCCATTTCCACGACTCCCACCTGCCCTGGGGACCCCTGGAGGGCCTGGGCAGCTGTGGATAGTCCCCAAGAACCTAGAAGTAGATGGCTGGGGCAGCATGCCTATGGCGAGGTGAGGCCTTCAGGATCAGGTGGCCTGCTACCTGCCTCACAGATGAGTTAGAGGAGCCAAGCCTCCCCTAACCCCTGAGCCATTCCAGCCTCTGGGGGGATCTAGGGGCTTCCTCCTTCTTCTGGGGTCAGGCCCATTGGCTCAGACAACTGAGGCTGTTTCATGATTTCAGGTGGAAGGTTGGCCTCTTTCGTGGAACTCCTCCAGGGAGCCTTCCCTGACTGCTCCTCTCGGAGACCCGGTTTTGGGAGACTGCACCCCCCACCCACCAGGACTCTTCTTCCTAGGTCACTAGCTCTGCTCTTCCCCACCAGCCTGGGAATCTTCCCAGGTTAAGACCTGGGTCTGCCCCTCCTCTGTGGCACCCCTCCCCACACCTTTCGGCTGGGCATTGCCCAGAGCCGTTCTGCTATCAGTGAGGAGCCCCTGTGCCTGCTGTCTGGGGGGTAGGGGCAGTGGAAGCCTGATGGGTGGCCTTGGGGTGGACTTCCTCCTCTGAGACCTGGGAAGTTTTCTTCCCCTGTTCAGAGGTTTCCCCTTCCCAGGCTGAGGTCAGGGCACCATAAACAAATGTGATAAGGCCTTGGGCCTTCAAACTGAACTTTGCAGCTGCCACTTTATGGCTCTGATTACGTTAGCGCCTCCCCCCCTCCCCCCTCCTATTAGCGCCTCCCCCCCCCTCCCCCCACCCCATCGAGTCTGGCTGGAGCAGAATTGCCTGATGTCCATTCAGTGCAGGAGCAAATAGCTGATGGGGAGAAAAGGGAACTAGGGCCTCTCACTCCAGCCTGTCCTCACTCAGTCCTGGCTGAGTCCCTTCTCCTCCCTATGTGGGCCTAGCCTTGCACTGGGCTGTGGGGGACAGGGGAGGAGAAAGACCTCAGCCCTTGACCCCATAGGATAGTCAGAAGAGCCCAGGCTGGGAGGTGGGGAGGGCCGAAGGGTGGGGTCAGAGGTGGGAGGGCTGAGTGGGCTGGAGCAATCAGGGAAGGCTGTCTGGAGGAGGAGCTGGTGTTGGATACAAAGTGAATAAGATGTGGAAAGACAGGGGAGGGAAGGCATTGGAGGAGCCAGACTTGGATGTCTCAGGAGGTGGGGGCAGACGTGGCCTAGCATGATAGAAGTCCTCGTTAAAACCACTCTTCACCTGGGCTGAGAAGCCTCCAGGGATGAGGGAACCGGCACCAGTGGTGGTCCCAAGATTCCTGGCCCATCCAAGGAGAATTTGAGTGGTCGGAGCCCAGCGTTGTAAGAGCCAAAGGGTTGTTGGTCATGTCTGGAGGCTTCATAATACGGAGGGGCTGTAAGTGGTACAAGAGCTGTGGCTTCCCGTCCTGAACCTGGTAGGGCGTTGAGTGCTCAGGAGGTGGGTCTCATGGCTGGCAGTGGGAGGAAGGGAAGCTCTGGTCAATGGTCATACGGTCTGCTCCCAAGACAGGCAATGAGCTCCCTGTCCCCAGGGTGTGCAAGACATCAGCTAGATGGAAACACAGATTCCTGTCCTGGTGGAGGTGACAGTAAGGGAGGTCATCATGAGATAGAAGAGACTAGATCAACATACTCCACCTACCCACCAGGCAACCTGGAGCTGGTGTTGCCAGACCTAGAACCCACTTGGGCTTCTGGCCCTGCACAAGCAGCAACCCCCCGATTCCTCAAGTCCTGGGGTAGGGGGACAGAGAAAATCAACTTCAGCCCAGGTCGGATCGGGAGGGGACAGGGGTGGCTCCAGTGTCTTTGGGCCTCACTTTGCCCATCGGTAATATGGGCTTGAGTAGATTTATTGTCTTGAGTTCTCTCTTGGTGTTAGAGGGAGATGATCCCTGTGTCTCCTGTCTCAACTAGGATCTGGCAGCCGAGGTGAGCCACCCACAGACACACACGAGCACACCCACACATGAGGCATGCTGGCACACATCAGGGGCACACGCATCCCCATGGTGATGAAGCAGAAGTGACAGGAAGAGGGAGACCACCGCTTGTTGGCTGTATGCTCCCAGCTCAGCCTTCCCCATGCACGTGGCTAGTCCTTCCTGGTAAACACCCCACCCCTCATCACCCACCACCTTCCCCCTTTGGCTCCCTACCTTTCACCTCTGCTCAGTGAGAAGGCACTGGAAAGGTCTGCTGGTCACCCACCCGGTCCCCAAAGCGCCTTCCCAGGTCCTGGGTTCCCCAGCGCTAGATCTGGGCTGAGACGTCACTCCTCCACGTAACACACAACGCCCCGCAGACGCCTCTACATTGGCACCGCGCACACGCAGCCTCCCTTCCACCCACCGTCTACCAGACCGCCCATTGCAATCGGCCACGGCCCCAGCTGAGCTCCCCACTCCACGCGCACCCGCAGCCACAACACAGAAGGCGAGTGTGGCGCCCGCTCGCATCCACCGCCCTCCGCCGGCGTCCCGCTCGGCGCGAGGAGCGGGCTCCGGGCGGTGCGGTGAGGGACTCGGTGCGCCCGGGACCACTCCCCTCGGGCCCAGGCACGGTCCGAGGCGGAGCCGGGAGGCGAGACCCCGTGCTCCGTGCCCTGACTCCCCTCGCCCCGGCGGGCGCACCCGCAGCCCGTCTCCCGCCGCCCCCACTCCACACCCAGCTGCCAGGATTCCGGGTGGCCCGGCGGGCACTCACCGCGGGGCGGAGGGCGCAGGCGAGGGCGCCCGCCAGCAGGCAGAGCCGCAGGGCCGGGGGCAGCGGGCGCCGGGGGCGCATGGTCCGCCCAGAGCCGAGCCGGGCGGCCCCGCGCCGGCAACGGGCGGGCGGGCGGGCGGGCGGCGCACCGCGGTCGACGGCGGGAACCGGGCTGAGTGACGCTGGCTCGAGGGCCCCGCGCAAAGAGACGCTGCTCGGGGCTGGGGGCGGGACCCGGGGGCTCGCCTGACGGGCGGCGCGTGCAGCCAATGGCTCGGCAGGGGCGTGGCCGCCGCGCAGGTGTGGGCGGGGCTGGGGCACCCGGCGAGTCGGGTGTCCCCGGGTTCCCTCTGCCAGTCCCGGGTCTGTGCGCTTCCACCGGCCTTCCCCCCCTCGGACTGCGTCCCGGGAGTCTCGAGACCCTAACACGCTCCCTCTTCTCTGGCTGGCGGCCATGCCCCCTCCGGGCGCCCCTCTGCCCCGCCCCGGGGCGCTGAGCCCGTCCACCTTCAGAGCCACCTCCTGGCTGCCCCGCCGCCGGCCTCCCCGTCCCCCTCCTGCGCCTCGGAGAGCTGGTGCGGACGGGCCGGGCCGCGAGACGGGACGGGCCGCTTCTTACTCCCCAGGCTGCCGGCTGCCCGCGGCGCGGCCCGCGTCGGGTCGGAGGAGGTGGGGCGCGCGGTGTGCTCCATTTCAAGCAGCCCCACCTGACCCGCGCGCCCGACCGGCCGGGCTAGGGCCAGCCGGGGCGCCAGGGAGGCCCGCCGCTGGGCTCCCCGGTGCCGTCCCTGAGCCGGGCGGCCTGGCAGGGCGCACTGGGCACCGGCTGTCGGGCTGCAGTGAAGGCGGCGCGTCCGCGCCCTCGCACATTTCGGCGGGGGCGCCACCGGGGGGCGGCTGGGCTGAGCTCCAGCTCCTCCACGCGGGGAGGGAAGGTCTGCTCCCAGCTCTCGGGCCCAGGCTCCGTGCAACCGACTACAACCAGAGACCTCCTCCCTCTCCTCCTGCCTGCCTGCCCGCCCTATTTTCCAGCCCAGGAAACGGGTCCAGAGAAAGGTCCGGGCCTGGGCCTCCTGCCTCCGGGGCCTCGCTTCCAAGGCTCGGCGGGCCGGCCTCGGGGTGGCATCGGGCCGACCCGTCTCCACCGCGAGTCCTCGGGGCTCAGTTGATTTGCGCCAGGAGCGCGTCTTCTTGGGGACCAAGCGCAGGTGACAGCTCTGCCTTCTTTCCGAGGAATCGAGACCACGCAATCGAGACTGGTGGTGGTCGAGGGGACAGGTGGCTGGTAAATAGATGGGGGGGGGGGGGGGGGACAGCGAGTGCGTCAGGGTTCCCCCAGGACCCGCCCAGGCTTCGCTCCCCACAGCGCGGGGAAACTCGGGCTGCTGACCTTCGGGGGTGGGATGGAGTTGGGGATCAGGGAAGAGCCGGAAGGGATGAGGGCCCGGCCCCTCTCATTTCGGCTTATTTGCTTTCTGCCTTCCCTCCCTTCCCTGCCTCCCTCCCACTCCCCTCTCTTCCCACTTCCTCCTTCCCTTCCTCGCACAGGCATTCATAACTCGCCGTGTGCCACGCTGTGCCATGCTGTGCCGGGGCGCAGGGGTGGGTAAGGCAGGGGCGCCTCTTGTTGGAGGAGGACCTGGGCAGCTATTGTCCTCCCCACAGTTTCCACTTCCTTCCAGATATGCTCAGCGAGCCTGGGCATAGGCCCCTCCCTGCCAGGTATGGGAACTGGGCGTGGCCTTGGGTCTGCGGTTTGGACTCAACCCCTCCCGGGGGAAAAACCCCCAGCCACGTCCTCCGCCATCCCCACTTCTGGGGCTCAGTTTAGGCTCGGGGGCCAGGGGTCTTTGCTCCCCCTTGTGAGGCTGGCAGTCCCTCTTCTCAGGCCTCAGCTCTCAGCAGGACACTGGAGTCATGTCCGCATTCTGGGGAATTGCCTCTCCTGGCACCGTGTCCTCGTGTCCTCGAGTCCCAGGTGAATGGCAAACCCAAGGGCTCTCATAAACCCACTCCACACACACACACACACACACACACACACACACACACACACACACACACACACTACCCCCCCCCCCATGCTGAAATCCCACCATCAGTGCTTGTCCCCAGGGGTGTGGAGGTTCTGCTCTCTCTCTGAGGACAGGGTGAGGTGAGGGGTGAGGATTGGGGGACAGCAGGGAGCCAGACCCCCCCTTTGGGACGTGACCTTGTGGGGAGGAGGAGAATCTTAGGCTCCCGGTAGGGGGTAGGTTGCCTCTCCTTTTGTTCTGGAGGGTGGTCCACAAGAACCCCCATCCTTAGCTCAGGGATGCCAGAGCAGGCTGCAGGCGGCGGGAGTGAGTGACAGTGAAACCGGACAACAGATGGGTCCGGGCTGCCTGTCACTACTTGAGCCACTTAAGCAGAGACAAGGTTGAATAATGTATGAGCATTTGTTGCAATAATGCCGGCAGTATGGGAGAGCAGCAGGTCATCCGCTAAAATCTGCTCTACTTCCTCCCCACCCCGCAAAAGTCTGCTGTTTCTATTGGGTAGAAGGACAAAGATTACACAGGAAAGTGGACAAGAGGAATAAAATGGGTATTCCAGGCAATGGGAAGTAGGCAAAAGGAATAAAAATGGTATAATGGTTAAAGATTACAGGCAATGCAGGCTGGGGGTTGCAAAGGGCGGACTCCATTGTTTGGGCAACAAGGTGGTTAATCTTTCCATGATGATACAGTTCTCGGATAAGGAGCATGGACCGAATTCGCAGGTTAACTCCCAGGTCCGGGGTACAGCTCCCAGCCAGGTCAGAATGTGCCTTCTTTAATCAGAACCAACAATCACGGTTAACAGAGCATGACCAACATTTCTTATAACTATAGCTAGTCCCCACCGTTCCATTTCTCCCCGCTGCCCCTAACAGCAGGGCGCCTGGATGCCCACGCTGTTCCCCGGCTCCCAGGAAGGAAGGGGGGCCCGAGGGAGAATATTTTCCTGCAGATCCTGTGCAGTGAAAATGACTTCTTTGTTCTGTCAGAGGGAGACCCGCCCTTCCTTACCTATCGAAAGGCACTGACACAAAATTAGAAGCGAGAGAAAACAAGCGAAAACAAACATACCCCTAAAAACCTCAGCCAAGGCTACCCTGGACTGCGCTTCAGCTGCTTGTTGCCGAATGCCCAGTCCTGTGTCCTGAAGCCCTGGGGGATCAGCTGTGGCCCACCCTGAGGAGGGGGGGATCTGACGAGGAGAAGCTAGCCAAGCGATTCACCTGTCAGGGGGGATGGCAAGGCTCCTGGATGGCGGGCAGAGGGACTTCAGAATCCACAGGTGGATGGGAAGCAGTGATGGGATCTCTGTTCCCATCCCCCCTCAATCCCTCTGGCGTGGGGAGGGGCAGCACCACCCCCTGCTCTCTATTCCCCCCATGCCCTCTTGGGTGGGCTCCTCCCAGGAATATGCTGTTCTGAGGCCTCTCCTCCTGGATCCCTGGAACGGGTCCCCAGGCTCTGCCCCCCCCCCCCCTTGCTTCGGGATTTGAGAATGGCGTGGGTGCAGAGGTGGAGGGGAAGAGAGAGGCAGTCACTTGCCATCCTCCGTGACATGAGTACAGGCACGACAAGCAAGTCAGGAAAGGATCTGTAGTTACTCACTTGGAGCCTGCCTGGCTTCCGGGCTGCCTGCCTCACTCCAGCAGGGGGGCCACCCTTGCCTCCCCCGGTCCTTCAGCAGCACCCTGAGTCATCACTCACTTCCCAGGCTCCCAGCTCAGGAACTCAATGGTGGTGGCCAACTTCTGCTGTGGAGTGGGGAGGGCAGCTGGCCCGGGCCATGCACATGGCTGTGCCGATGCAGACAAGCTTTGCCCTCGGGCCTCTGAGTTGAAGGAACCTACGCCTTTAGGTCTGTGTCCATCGCGTGGGGCTGGCAGCTCCAGGGAGATGACCTGCTCGCCACTTCCCCGGCGGCCCCTTCTCTGGGGCCGGTGCTTCCTGTGAGGAGACACATCTTAACTCTAAGCTTAATTCCCAGGTGGGGTGGAGGGCAGGAGAGGCCCAGGTAGGTGTTTAGAGAAGAAAAGTTCTGTCCAACCCTAACTGGTTTACTCAGTGGATAGAGCATTGGCCTGAGGACTGAAGGGTCCCAGGTTCGATTCTGGTCAAGGGCATGTACCTGGGTTGCGGGCACATCCCCAGGAGGGGGCGTGCAGGAGGCAACTGATTGATGTCTCTCTCCCATCGATGTTTCTAACTCTCTATCCCTCTCCCTTCCTCTCTGTAAAAAATCAATACAATATATATTTTTTTTAAAAGAAAGAAAAGTTGCCCTAACTGGTTTGGCTCAGTGGATAGAGCTTCAGCCTGTGGACTAAAAGGTCCCGGGTTCGATTCCGGTCAAGGGCATGTACCTTGGTTTCGGGCACATCCCCAGGAGAAGGTGTGCAAGAGGCAGCTGATCGATGTTTCTCTCTCATCGATGTTTCTAAATCTCTATCCTTCTCTCTTTCTCTCTGTAAAAACTCAATAAAATATATTAAAAAATAAAATAAAATAAATTCCCTTTAAAAAAAAAAAAAGAAAGAAAAGTTCTGCCCATCCCTCTGGACCGGCATGCAGTGGGTAGCATCCTTCCTTCCTCACGTATCAATGTCTTCACTTACACTGCCAGGCCTGGTGACGGGCACTGGAGATGTCACGGTGACTTAGACACGGGCTGCCCCTCCAGGGGAGCCTAGCACTGCTTGAGGGGGGCACTGGGCGGGTGGGGGGCAGGGCGGTGGGGGCAATCTGGTGGTGCATGAGAAATGGAGGGAGTGCTTCTGCTCCCGGAGGCTGAGGCAGAGGGGACTTGCTCTTGCCCTTGGGGAGCTCCTGTTCTGGGCACAGAGAGCGATGCCTGGAGAAGGAACTCCTCTCCTCAGCACCCCAGGGCTCGGTGCCATCCTGGGGGCCAGAAGTCTGTCACCATGATGGTTGGCACGGAGGTCATGGTGCAGCGACTGGGACACTCTAGAGGGGAGGACCATGTACGCTCCGGCAGCCACAGTCTCTTGGTCTAGCCTACTGCAGGTGCGTGCGTGTGTGTTGTGTATGCTTGTGTGTGTATGTATGTGTGTGTGCATGCACATGCACGCCCATGTAGGAGAGCGTGTGGGGTGTGCATCCTTATGTGTGGGCGTGAGTCAGAACAGACATATTTGCTCCCAGCTGGAGTCTGAGAGCAGGACTTGGCCAATGTGTGTTGGGAGGAGGAGGAGCTAGGGGCAAGATTCTGGGGAACTAGGGGCAGAGAGAGAGGCTGCGTCTCAGAGAGGCTGCCTGGGACCACAGGCAGCACCAGGCCACCTCTCAGAGCTCATTCCTGGGGCTGGGGGTGCCCTG